TGCGTGCCTGTAATTCCAGTGCGTGGGAGGCTAAAAACAGGAGGATCACTACAAGTCCTATCTGTGTAGTGAGACCCTATAGAACCTGTACTAAATACATTTTAAAAAATTAGAAAAGAAAAAAAGAAAACTCGTGAGTCTACAGGGAGGAATGCGCAGGTGTCAGGTTTACCATAGAAGCAATTGAGAGCAGCACACCTAAAAGCTTGAGATTCAGCCCTCGGCGTGGCCCACGAGGTTATTTGCACTCGCTTTGTTGCCTGTGTCTTGCCTGTGGTGACTGCGTGAACGCACCTCAGGTTTCTAGATGGTCAGCTCCTGAGCCCTTCGCCTCCATGGAGAAGGAGGCTGTGCGGAGCTTCCTGCAGCTCACCGGCCTTCTTCCCTGCGTGCCTTCGCCCTTGCCGCCATCGCCTCATCGGGAATCCTTGTCCCTGACCTCATTCAGAGCGACTTGCCATCACTCCTCAGACCGGCTGCTTCTTCAACATCAGCCCCGTGTCAGATGGCTCCGAGACGTGCGTTCTTCCCCTAGACTGAAAGCACAAATGTGGCCAGTGGAGGTTTTCCAGGTCAACCTCAAAACTCATCCAAACGCTTCAAAATGCTGTTTTGTTTTTTAATGGATTTAAACCTCCTTGTCATATAGGGTGAAATGTTTTGTTTGCTTCTGTGTAGTGATAATCCACTATTTTGGCTCAGACTTAGCTGGATATAATTTTGGAACTACCTCCTTCGTCTGCTTACCTTACCCCTTTACCCCCTAAAATATTCAAAATAGATTGATGCAGAGAGAGACAGACAGAGGGACAGAGGGACAGAGGGGAGATTACAGAAACCTGAGTACAGCAGAGTCTTATTGCATTGCAGAAGCTGGGTCTTGGTGGACCATCAGTACAATATCTACCTCTATCGAGAGGGTGTCCTCCGAACTGCCTCAGAACCGTATCATGTGGATAATTTCCAAGACAAGACCTGCCATTTGACCAATCACTGCATCCAGAAGGAGTTCTCAAAGAACTACGGGAAGTATGAGGAAGGGAATGAAATGTTCTTCGAGGAGTTCAATCAGTACCTAATGAGTGCTTTGAACATTACCTTGGAAACTAGTATCTTACAGCAAATCAAGCATATCATAAGGTAATTTAATTGTCCCTTGTCTGCTTTTTATGTTTCTTCTTGAAGGAGCTTTGTTTAGGCCTTTCAAGGAATTGCTGTTCCACTTAAATTGCCTAATTTCTGGGCAAAAGTTCTTTGTGATATTCCTTTATTTTGATTTTAGCATTAGGATTTGTAATGAGATTATGTCTTTCATTTCTGATATCAAAGTTTATATTTTCCTTCTGTTTTTCTTGGGTAGATTGGCTAGAGAGTTGTTAATTCTTTTTTTTTTTAAATCTTTTTTTTTTTATATTTATTTATTTATTTTGTGTGTGTGTGGCCAGCTCAGCCCACCAAGGGGCGGGGCTGGCTGGCATGTGGTGCTGGGGGATTGAACC